AAATGTGGATTAAGGCACAGGTACCGTAATTATTTCAGCTGTGGTGGTTAATTCATTTTTGCATATATTAACTAATAGTTACACATATATGCAGTCACACTGAATCACAGAATCATAGAACGGTTTCGGTTGGAAGGGAGCTTTAAGATCATCTAACTACAACAGCCTGCTACAGGCAGGAACACCTCCCTCTAGACCAGGTTGCTCAGAGCCCCATCCAGCCTGGCTTTCAATGCTTCCAGGGAGTGGACATTCACAACCTCACTGGGCAACCTGTTGCAGTGTCTCACCACCCTCACAGTAATAAATTTCTTCATGTCCCTCAACCTGCTGGTCACCTTTCTCATGCAACCCAGGATACAGTTGGCCTTCTGGGCTGCAAGCGCACAGTGCCAGCTCATGATGAATCTTTCATCAACAGACACCCCCAAATCCTCCTCAGGGCTGCTCCCATCTGCTGCCTAATCTGTATGTGTGCTTGGATGTAAATACACCGCTTTCATACAGACAGTGGATATAGACACACATTCTCATATATAGAACACTTACGTTTTCAAATAAAATATAAAATATATATGAAATATATAAAGGTATATGAGAGAGCTTTGGAAATTATATAAACAAAAACAATCTGACCTGTGACACAAGGAAATGTACACTATAGGAGTTTATGTAGAACAGGAGTATTACTGAAGCAATACATACCTTGACAGGTATCAATCAGAACCTCTACCTGTCTAAAGATTCCTAGACGAAGCAACTTTTCACGAGCTTCATGCGATTTTCTCATTACCTATAGGATGAGATAGGTAGCTCAGTACTTCAGCTTACTGAAAATAACCAGGATGAAATAGTTAAGGTGCTGCCAAATCACACAATATTCACAGATTATGTATACAAAGACATATATGTGCTTTCAAAACAGATCGCAACTGCTTTAACACTCAAATCCATAAAGAAATTAAACCAAGAGCATCTGGCCAGATTTCCTACCCAGCCTGCAACCTAACTGTTCAGATGCTTAAACCTATTATTCAAATTGGTTTCAGTACTTAGAACTTACACGCCTATTCACTAGGCCCATGCTTTTGATGAAAAACAAACACACACACACACATTAATCCACTTAAATCTAGACTAGTTTATAGGTAAAGACTTGATTCCTTTTTGCACTTCTTGAAGTTCAGAAAGCAGGCATGCCCTAAATAAAAAGGTAGCATGCACACTTTGCATGTTAATTTCACACACACACTCTTTTTCTACCCTATCTGGAGATAAAACTCAGTGAATTTCATGACAAATTCAGCAGTGTAACCAAGAAGTTACACTACGAGGGCACATATGCAAAGAAATTGCATACAAAAGAAGAATATGGACTACATGGCAACTGCCCTGTACAGCCAGAAGAAGACAATTCCTAGCAGCCACACTACGGGTGCTGGTCGTCTGTTCTGACTACTTTTCTTAAGCAAATTAACTGAAAGTGTCACCTGTGGAATTAGCAATTCTCAAACAGGAATGGTGAACCTGAAAATATCTCGGAGTGCTGTCTGCCATCTCTCAACACCTTTGAGTTGAATGCATCAGGAAACACAGTATCTGCCAGTACTGTCTGTTTCAGTTTGGCTTCCATTTGACAAGTTTAAAATCATTACAAAAACTGGCAAAGTTGCCTCACGTCTGAGAAGAGCAGCCCAATGCAGGAAAAGAGAGAGAGAAAATCATGACCTGAATTTTCAAACAGTAAGTCTGTTATTCATCACAGTACTTACATCAATGAGATTTTTAGCCTTGAAAACATCTGCGATTTCATACATGATAATGTCATCTTTGGTCCTTCCAAGTCCATCAAAATGCACGTGCTGAACGACCACCTAAAGGCAACCCATGTTTAAACACAAACACTGAATTTGCATCTAACAACGAGTATCAAAACCATCTACACATAAAATAAACACATGCACAAAAAAAAATTGACATAAAATCACCCATACTATTGTCCAAGCAAAAAACCCAAAGATTCCTATGTCAATTCCTGCTAACCTACATTATAAGAAATCAGTGCTGCCTACAATTCTGGAAAATTGTTCCTCTATCAAGGGAAGAGAAGAAGGCTCTAATACCAAATCTAATAGTGTTTCAAGCTGAAGAGATAGTGGACAATTGTTGCTGGGATTTTTGGTGTTATATGAACAAATCAGTCACTGCAGAAACCACATCAAAATACTCAGACATTTAAGACAGAATATGTAGGTAGCTGTAGCTAGCCATGTGTTTTATCTGCTACGGAAAGAGTAGCAGATACTTAATTCTTTCCCTGTATGGAAAGAGTTAAAACAACAAAAACAACCAAGCAACACAATGCCACAAATTATTAATATTCAAACTCTATTAAAACTGTATAGAGTAGGCTATAGAACAAAGGAGAAATAAATTATATAGAAACAAAGATACCTCTTCCGTCTAGCAAGGTTAAACACAGTATGGGCCAAAGCAGGGATCTCCTTCCACATGAAATAATTAAAAAAAAATAAATCAGCATCTTTTGCTGAAGTTAGCATTTACCTTGGTAACACAATTCATGTGATGGCAGTTTACTCAAACGTGGCCAATACTGTGCCCTGCAGATTAAGGGCAGTTGCATGGCTCACTACTAAACAGCACTGTGGATGAGGTTACTTCTTATGAGGGAGGGTGAAGAGCAGCACCTGTTAAGAAAAAACCCAGGATGTTGCCTGGGTACTCACATCTTTGTTTTCAAGAATTTCCTGCTTGGCTTCAGGCTCGACTTCAACCAATTCAGCTTCTTCTCCCAAGGCCCCGAAGTCTGGCCCGCTTGATGGAAGGGGCTCCAAACTCTGGAAGGATACAAGGAAATGGCATTTAATGAAGTATGCGATTTGCAACTTATCTTCTGCAAAGGAGAAAGGTGACTGCTCCTGAGCCTTTGCTCATCTGGTCACAGGGGAAAAAAGCTGAAAAGAACCATGAAATGGGGGGAGTTACCAGCACATTTGTTACCTATGTGTCCGTTGTCAGTTTTAGTAAAAGCTAAATAGCTTCTATGTCAAATAACCTCTCACAAACAACATCCTCAGCTCTTCCAAGAAAAATCTTATTTTTAAAGCACGCTTCCTGTGTTAAACAAGAACTCTTTCTTTTTTTTTATCAGGGAGCCACTACTTAGTTTGGGTTTTAGGGAGGAGCGTGAACGATGAACGATGAAGAAAAAAAGGTGTTTTCAGTGCACTATTTTGCTTTACACGTATCTCTATGCTTTTATATTTTAATGTCATTTAAAAGTATCCCTCCATGTGACGTTCAGGTCCCAGCCATCAGAGCTTTCAAGGTGAATGTTTTAATTAGAACTGTTTCTAAAGAATATGGTTTTATTTACTACACCTGAGGAAGTCCTAAAGTAAGACTCTTATCACAAGATGACAGATTCAAGCATGAGTGAAGGCAGGGTTACCTGCAGAAGCAGAGGTCGGGGTTGGGTAACTCAGTAAATCCACTTTTAGTCTTAAGTTACTAATACAGTCCATGCTGAATTATTTAAGGAGCACTGGGGTAATAAACTGCTGTTACACATCAGAATTAAGTTACACAAGCAATGCGTCCTCGCTAGCTCGCAAGTTTTCAGGCATACATGAAGTGCTCTGCAACCACACAATGCTCTATAGCAATACATACTGCAGCTGAAGAAAATCAAATGGTGAGGCCCTGGCACAGAAGCTGTGGGTGCCCCATCCCTGAAGGAAATCAAGGCCAGGTTGGATGTGGCCCTGGGCAGCCTGAGCTGGTTGGCAGCCCTGCTCGTAGCATGGGGTTGGAACTGGGTGAGCTTGAAGGTTCCTTCCAACCCAAACCATTCTTTGATTCTATGAATACAAAACTAAGAATATGAGAAGTTAGTCATGGCAATTAGATGCTCCGGAACCATGACAGTCCCCTGCAGCAATGTGCCCCTCAGTTGACTAAGTGCCATATAAAAGCCTTCTTGTACTCAACAGGTGTGGAGAAGAGAGATGGGCCTGGGGTCTGGAGAAACCGCCCCAGATCTGCGCCCCAGATAGGCTGGCTGCTCAATGACCACACTTAGTTAGCAATGTTGTTTCCCACAGGGCTGTCAGACCCTGGAATGAACTGAACCTGGTCCCAAGTTGGAGCATGGTACAGGCTCAGCAGGGCAGTGGCTGCCAGAGTTCAAGAAGCATTCGGACAATGCTCTGAGATATAGGGTTTGGATTAGGATGACCCTGTCTGGAGACAGGAGTTGAACTCTATGATCCCTGAGGGTCCCTTCCAACTTGGGTCACTATAATTCCACGCTGTTTTGGCCTCAAGGTTGACTCCCCGTGTCTGCTTTAAGGGGAAAGCAGCTTAAGCAAAAAACACTTTACATTTAACCAAGCAGGGTGCAGATCTGCTCTGACTTCCTTACGCTACAGCCAGCAGCACTGCCAGCCACTCCCACCTTGTCCTCCGATACCCCAGGGCCCGACTCCTTCGCGGCCCAAAGCAGGAACAGAGCCGCCCGCTCATCCCGTGCCGCTCCCGCACGGCAAGCACCACGGCCAACAAGCAAGGCAGCGCCTACAGGCGATCCCCGCCGCCAGACAGGAGCCGCGGCCCCGACCCGCTCGAAGGTCGCCAGGATAGCGCGGCCCCAAGGCTGTTCTCCCGCAGGCCCTTCCTCCCATCCCCTCCCATCCCCTCCATCGCGGCGCTCCCCTACCCGGGCGTGCACGGTGCCCATGGCGGCGCGAGCTGACGGGCGCTCGGCGGCGGCAGGCGCGGGACCGCTGCGCTCAAGGCCGCAGCACGGAGGCGGCCATGACAGGAGACCCCGCCCCAGCGCCCATTGGACGACGGAGGCGGAAGGGGCGGGGCGAAGGGGCAGTGCCTGGAACCGGAACTGCTCGACCGGAAGTTGGGGTGGCGCTGCTGGGACTGCGTGCTGCGGAGGGGCGTAAAGTAACGCACAGACACCAAACGCGGACATTTCATCTTTTAATTGTGGTTTCAGTAACATTCCATTTGAGGATACATACACACCAGACAGGAACAAAACAGGTGAAGTAGAATAGCACCAGATGTCCGTAACAAGAACGTGACAGTGGAGCTGTTTGGCCCCCAACAAAATATTATTTTCATGCTGTACCATTTAGTACTTCAAGCTTAGGGGAATGGCAGCTGAAAAACTGCTTAAAGGCTGGTCCAATGCAGAAACACTTGCTTTTGGAAAACCTCTACGTACCCACACTTAAACTCCTGAAGAAAACACTCCCATCTCTCCCCCTTACATACTGTTACTCAGCCCTGCTCCTCCCTCACATCAGTGCTCCCCCTGAGCAGCCCTCCATCTCTTCCTGGGCCACTGCTGGGTTGCCCAGAATTCATATCCACACACATGAAGCCTGCAAACATCACACGCCTGCTGCAAACACACAGCAACCTGACCTCTAAAGACAGAGCTGCTTCCTTCCACTGAAAAGGAAAAAAAACAAACACAACCAAGACATGGTACTAAAACAGCAAAATTGGTAGTTAATCTCAACAGGTACTACTTTTCCTGAAGTATTCACACACTGATACACTGTCTTGATTACATTTACACAGAACCTTTGTTGAAGGAAGCATTTACAACACTTATCACTCAATACAGATGTGATCCAGTCCACTTTCAACCCATTATTTGAGACCTATTTGCACAGCCCCTGGATACTGCTGCTTCCACCAAGTCTTACAGATTTGCTTTGTCCAACAATTGTTCCTGGAAAGCTCTCCTGGGGCTGTCAGGCCTTCCGGAGCCAGAAAGGACCCTTTTTTCCTCCCCCCAACTTGCCTGCAGCAAGAGGAAAGTGAAGGAAGAGCAGAAAAACGTCCTGAGCTAGAAGTGAAATAAATGGATCAAGAATGATTGTGCAGCAATTAGAGAGAAGACCAAAACATTAGCCACCACTCAATATACCGAGGTACGTTAACATCTGCCATAAAGTTTAACACCTGAAATTACTAATCACAGCCACTATTTTACCTGCCTTTCAATACTTAGTCAAGTATTAAGCTCCTACTGAGTACACAGAAGTCCTATGAAGTCACTGAAACTACCTGATCGCATCTCAGGTGAAAGCATCCCAGTTCTCATGACTTTTTCCACTGAAGTATTTAAGAAGGGAAAGAGCCACAGAGGAACCTGAGCATTCATTACCAGCTGTGCAATATGGACAATAACCTAAACTAACACTGTTCCTACATTATCTCATGCAGACAACTATTCCGTAAATAGAACAGTATGTTTAACATAAGGCATACAGACATAGGAGGCCACTAAAAAGCACAAATGTGTATTTCCCTTTATGAAGTACAAATCCAACTTCATTAAGTGCTATAAAAGTGATCCTGAAACGTGTTATTGGGAATTATGTTTTTAAAAAGCTTTTGTTATCAATGCTTCTTTACCAAGATGTTTGCAGAATTTACATTTTTTGTCCTGAAAGTAGATTTAAAAAACAAAAATCTCATTTCCAGAGAGACATTGTTTACTACAAACCTTACTATAGTTTACTGAGCTGGTGCTTTGACAGACACATAGTCCGTCTCTCCACAAAGGAGCCACTGTTTTAATGATCCATAAAACAGCAGAATTCCAAAGGCAGATTTCTCAGGAAGCTGTAAACATTTTTCCAAGACTTATTGGCAATAAACAAAGTGAACTTTAGTCCTTCAGGATTTAAATTTTTCTGCCAAATTGGAATTTTGGAAGCTGTGGAATCTATTTCCAAATTAATATTCTGGAGCAGTTTGGAAACTTGTCTCTGAAGAGGAGTCAAAATCTATTTCCAAACCAGATTCATCAGAATTTGGAAGAAAATTAGGATAGGAGTTTAAGTCTGACTGCTCCTTTGTCTTAGGAGAAGCACGTTTCATGACTGAGTCCATGTAGCATGAAGATTCCCAGAGCCAGGTTTCAATATCCGCAGAAGAATGAGGCATTTTAAGATGACAGTATGAAGAATGAAATTCCACAGTAGATGGGGCAGTCTGACATTTTCTTAGTGGTGTGTAATTGTCTTTCCTGTTTAAGAAAGAATAATAATAATAAAAAAGAAATATCAGTAGCATTTCAATGATGTCTCTATTACTACTCAGATTTCTTACAGGAAATCTTCATATCTTCATGACAACACTATAGGAAAAAGGTTAATTCTAAATGTATTTAATGAGTTAGGACACAACAACAGGAAAAAGATCTTAGAACAACCTTATCTAGAAGAAAAGCATCCTACCATTATGCGATGTCCTGAGAAGTATATATAAAATTGTTAAGTTACAAGTCACCACACTGTTCTAATATGTTTAGAAGGGGAGACCCAATTGGTGCTTTACCACTTGAATAGTTCTGATCTCCCCTAGCTACCCACTCATGAATCATAGCAATTACTGGACATTAACAAGCATGGTCTCAACATTCACCAGGAAAGATAGTTTTTTTTTTCCTTAAAAGTTCTTTCTCATCCCTTGCAGTGCCTTTAGGGAAACAAAAGGAAAAAAAAAAAAAAAACAACACACAGAATACCATCCCTCCATACTCCCATCTAAACCATACTCCCCTCTAAACAAACTCCTGATGTACATGCTTCAACATCAGTTTTATACTTGAATTTCAGATGCACTAGAAGATACCATCCCAGCTGGTGAAGCTCCCAGAAGAATGCCTAAACAGCTCAAGTTTTCATGAAATTTAAGTCTGACTGCAAAAGAGAAGCTAGATCTGAAGACATAGGAGGAAGAAGGGAAAAAACAGAGGGATTGTTTCTTTTCAGAAAATCAGCAGTAAGTTCTTGATGGATAATGAAACACAGTACAATCCCACAAAGAATCACCTATAGAATATAGTGCAGGTTTCTACATACACAGCCTTGGGACCTAGCCATCTGAAGGGGAAATCCATTTAAAGAAAGGCTTCAGAAAACTTCAAAGTTTAACAGTGTAAACAATTCTGTGGGTAGGGATCATTGCTGTGCTTTAACCCCAGTAGGCAGACAAGTACTACACAGTCACTAGCTGTGGGTGGTTGAAAGAAAATGAAGAGATAAATGCATGAGAGTTTATGTATTGAGATAAACACAGTTTACCAGGTCAAGCAAAAGCTACAAGCCAACCAAAACAAAGGATTCATTCACTACTTTCCATCAGCAGGCAGATGTTCAGCTATTTGTAGCACATCACACATCCTGATCTGTTAAGTCTGGATTTCTGCCTTCTCAAACCAAATCTTAGGAGAGTTCATTTTTATAGCCACTTGCACTTCAGAGACAGCCTGCAAACACCAGCTCTGGTGCACAACTCACTATTACAGCAACAAGTCTATTTTAAATGGAAAATGTGGGCTGTCATTATTTTATAGAAGTAGTTCAAGATCCCTGGGCAAACACTAAGCTCCTTAGCAAAAGGTGAAACAAATGGCAGTCTTAGATTCATACCAGGGCAAGTTGTCACTGATTCCTGCATATACACAGCACTGAGAAGAGTAAGATAAGCATTAAGTCTGGAAGGTTAAATCCCATACCAGTTTGGTAGGAGAAGCATAATGAGTCTAGTTACAACTGGGTTACAGAAGAGCTCTCTTCCATGGAAACAGAGGGTTTTTATTTCTCTATATGGAAATAGAGAATTAATACAACTACCAATAGGTAACACCCCTTCATCTGCAATACACAGCAGTCACTGATGAACTACAAAGAACTGCATACAGTATACTTAACAAATAAGAGTCAGAAGCAATAAGAACCATTTAGTGCTACTCTTGAGAAAATTATCAAATCCTTTTAAGAGGGAAACTTATTACTACTTGAAGCTCTGTTAAGAAAGACCTTCTAAAAATACATAATTAGCATGCAGCAGCACACCAGTTTACCTGGATGTACAGAACAGCCTCTTTTTTGCCTGGGAATAAACTGTACCAGCAATCTGAAGAAGTTGCTCTTGCATCCATCGAACATCAGCAGGCATGTCAGGAAACCAGTTTACTAACCTACAATCAAAATACACAAGTTAGTTTGTAAACAGAGCTCATGTTATATTCCTACATAATGCATCCAACAGAGCAGCTTGGGGAGAACAACAGCTGTGTTAATTCCCTCACCAATATCTCCAGATCTTCTCAACCTCTCTAGATTTCCATCTAATTCACTCATTTCTTCTCTACAGTCTAAAGAAAAGAGCAGCACATATCACAACATCTCTGATCTATGCTGAGCATCTGACCAGTATGCGCATTCTACCAAATTCTAGGTAGACTACAAGAAATTCCTGTCTTTGAGTCCACTGTGTAGTAGGAACTTCCTGGTGAGTTTAAATGTTACCTGGGAAACAAGAACAAAAGAAAAGCACAATGGAAGTACAGTGAAGGCAGACAAAGAATAATGTTACAAATGGGGAAAAATCCACATAATTCTGTTGATTGCCTCTCATTTGAGGAACATGGCACTTCTGCATCATTTTAAGTGGCGCAGGGAAATATTTTACTGGAGTTCTACCTGAATCTACTTACAGAACATTTGATTTCTTCTAGTATTTTCTAAATAAAGTAAAAGCATGTGCAGTGCACATACTAGAATTCAGAACTCAACAGTTTAGGGTTCACAGCGTATAGTTCCTCCTTTGCAAGAGTCAGAAAACCTTTAAAATCAGCACTGCTTCAAGAGAACAACCCTCAGTAAACCTAAGCAAACCCAATAAGAAAGTTTGTTTGGCAAATAAGCTCTTAGATTTCATTCCTGACTTCAGGAAGAAGCAAAAGCACAGAACTACAGATGGAGTTAAAATACCACTGCAGAATACAGAAATAGCAGTGAATAATCTGCACAATCACAGGATTAAGGGTGCTTCTTTTGAGGAATTAAAAAGCAGCTTTTAGCAGTAAATTTATTATTTATAACGTTTTCTTAGTAGGATTATTTATATAGATTGTAGAGGCTTTAGGAGGATGCACCTTATGTAGGTAGAAATAACTCTCTTTGGACAGTTAATATTCAAATTATAGAGTATCAGAGCACCTATATATCTGAATGAGCATTCAGTTATACTCAAGTGCAATTACAAAGTGGTTCACGAGAACTTTCTTACCGTAAAGCAGCAGAATAAGCAGACTCCACAGGTAATGTATACGGTAGCATCAGATAGGATATCACCCGCATAGGGAAGAGTTTAGAGAACTGAGCATAGAATCCATTTGGTTCTTTACAAGCTTCCTGAAGCGCTTAAGAGTAATTGTGTTTGAGAAAGATGTTAGACCATTTGTCCACTCAAGTTTTGGTAATCTTCAGTCAGTACGATCAAGTGTTACTGAATAAGGCTCAGACAGAAACTGGATATAAGGCAATCTCAAGGCACTTATTGTGAGTACTCTCAATGCTATTTCAAAATATGGGAAGCACTGGCTAATAACGCAGAAATAAAAAGACATTACTCGGAACTGTTAAACAGTAAATTTAAATATTAACTTCTGATGAGATGCAAGTATTTTTGGAGATGTGAACCTTATGTATTTCAGACAGCATCCTTGCCTTGTCTGAAACTGTGGAACTTTAAGAAGTTTAAATTCTAGAGTTCCACATATTCCAGTTTTCATATACAGCTTTCAGAAGTTTCACACTTCATATTTTATTCTCCTGGGTCACTAGGACTACAAATTTCAGATCTTGAAAACACTGATCAGCATCAACAAGAAAATTTTGGTAAGAATTATAGACTAAGAAATATGAGAAGTGCTCCTGGTCTATTAACACCTTGTTAAGACAACAGGAAAACCAGGCAATTAGAAATCTACTGAAGTATGATATAAAAATAAGACAGGGGTAACCAGTGTTTGAATTTGAAGTTCAACTTTATTGTCAAATATACATTTACAAAGATACTGCAGACTTACAAACTAAATTCAAAACTACTTGAGAATTTAATTCATGTCTCCACAAAGTGACTCCTTTGCCCTGTGTCAGTCTTATTCTTGCAGCTAAATCAAGATACACGTTTCCATTTTCTACGTACTTTGAGAACATTTCTGATTTCAGCTCATCTTTTATGTCATAGGGAGTAATACAATTAAATAAAATAGCTTTTGCAAGTTATAAGATTAGAGTAAGGTGGGGGGGTAAGATGGGAAATCACTATTTGCCATTTAAAGTTACAGAACACAGTCTGAAGAATGTACCTTTACGAAGCCTAGGAGGTAAACTCTCAAATATGCTCTTCTCCAGAGGCCACGGATTTTGCTTCAACTGGTCACCAAGTACTTCCACTTGAGAAGTTTCTATTCTATTGTTTTCAGACTTATTTTTCTTCATATAGTCAATGTGTTGTGCAGCTTCATGAGGATTTGTTTTTGTGAAGGACAAGCTGACATAAATTGAGTCATTCAGAATACCTGGAAGAGTCAAGAGCTTCCACTTAGGCTCAATCCACAGGTCTTCAGAGTATCTGTACTTTGTTTATCATTACAGGAGGTCTTACCCTGAAGGAACATTATCTACTTAATGTCAAATACACTTGTTCTTGTTCACTTGTTCAAATACACAAGCAGACAAATATTTATTCATCATTACGACTACTCTTGTACAAATTTAGATCTTTCTTTAAAACAAATTCTAAAGCAAATGAAAAAAGTGAACAATTAATTGAAACTGAATCTGAAACACAGTCATTTGCCAAAGTAGTTTTCCAGCAGCAAAGCAAATAGCTTAAAGGAGATGAGGAAAACTGACATTTTCATTTGAAAGAAAACATCTGCAATGCATCAGACTAGAATGGGAAATCTGACACAGAAGGTATCATAAGAATACTTCGAGGTGCTGTCACAAGGTGCAGAAGGAAAGAGGTAAATATTAAGATACATTCAAAGTATGAAACTAAATTAGCATTTGTTGCTGATAACTGTCAAAAGTATATACAAAAGACTTTTGCAGAGAAGTTATCTATAGCTAAGTATTCTGGATGGGGAAAAAAAAGTAGGAGCTCCTGTAGTTGAAACAGCTTAACAAGAAAGTAGATGCATAACTAAAGAGTTCAGAAAGGCTACAGTAAGAAAAAAGTATCACATCAATAGTATGAAAATTAGGACAAATAGAGCAATGCATAGGGGATATGAGAGGAAGACTCCAAGAAAAACCTGCAAGCAATCCCAGATACAGCATCAGATGGAAGTGTGCACACAGGAAACTCATAGGCTGTGTTCATGTACTGCACCTATCTTAGCACAGCAGCCCCAAGCTATAGGCACGTTTGTGTCTGCAAAAAGTTGTGCTTTTAATTACCTTGCAAAGGATCTAAAGTGGGACTCTCTTAAAAATTATTTAACAATATTCCTAGAAATTAAGCTCTTAAGCAGAACTGGGATGTTCTTGAACATGAAGAAATTGTTTTAAGGAAGCAGGAATAACATGTGCTTAGAGTACAAGCACATCAAGCTACAACTACATTACAGCACATTAGCTGGCACTAACTCTAATAGTACAAACACCATGATTTCCATTCCTATAATCTGAGCCAGCACTATTTGCTTCTGCACCCGAAGAGTATGGGGATAGCATCTCATACATTCATACACACAGTTACCTACATGCTAAATAGTAAATGATTGCTTTTAACTTGTCTGTCTCAAAATTGAACAAGGAATTAGATTCATAAATATTTTACTGTAATTCAGGAGAAAGAGAAGATCTTTCAGTTATTCCTAAACTGATCTGGATCCCAGTAACTGCTACATTTTAAGACTACTTGTAAAGTCTTTCACGATATAGACAAAGGATTTATCCATTACTTAATACTATTGCTAGACAGTTCCCAGTTCTGGATTGTAATGTTCTTCCTACAAGTTTACTTGGACAGTACAAGAGAGGAAATAAGATTGCACAAGAGCATAGTCTACTCCTATCCTTTGGTATTAAGGCAAAAGAAACTGATATAATCTTTCTAGAATTATGAGTAGAATTCATTGGTAATTTCACTAAATGATACTAGTACTGACTTAACACAAGAATGTTGAAAACTCTGAAGTGCAGTTTTTTGTGTGACAACTACCTCATGCAAGTAGTTAAAACTATGATTTCTACCAGATGAAATTCAGAATGAGAATATAACTTACAAAACCCCCTGCTCCCCTCAACCCTTTATTAAAAAAAAAAAAAAGCACCAACAAAAAACACACAGGTTAACAACATATCACCAATAATCATCCACAAGAGTAACATACCATTCTCTTTCAAGAATTTAAAAGCATCTGAATACCCTTGCTCACAGATCTCTCCTAGTACCTGCAAGCAGAGGGTAAACAAGTCAGCAAATCAAAATTCAGATCAAGAGTTTATAAAATAAAAAGCCACTTACAACTATCTTTCATCCTTGTTAGTGTAAAGTTTTCTTACAGTTGCTATAATCCTATAGATTCAGGTTAATAAGCCTACTGTGTGACACATACAGTCACGCATACGACTGCTTTTCTGTCATCTCTCACAGATGCACTGAATCATTCAGTAAAAAGGACAGCATTCTAATGGCTTAGAAGAACTTCCTCTCTCATTTCATGTCTTCAGCATAATGTCAGAAGCAAGTAACAAAGCAACAGGGTGGCTTGATGGAATATGTCAATTCCCCTCTTCCCTCCCCCATGCTTCCCAATTCCCAAAACTACAAGAGGTCAGCTGTGAATTCTCATGTTCCAGCTCAAACTCAGCCTTCCACATTCAGCAGATGCAACACCAGCTCATCTACTAATGTGCACAGTAGTCCTGGACAAAAGAAAAAGATTAACATACACATAAATAGAATTTAATGTTTCTCTTTTGCAAAGCAGCTAAAAAAAAAAAAAAACAAACACGCATCTACAGCAATCAAAACATTACTTCTCTGTAATGTATCCCAGGTAAACTAGCAGACTGTTTTCTGGTTTGTTTGTTTGTTTTTCCAGTTTCAGCAACTGCAATTCTAGTTATTTCCCTCATCAAGTCTGCAATTAAATGCTTAGCAAGACTAATATCTGATGTAAATGGTTTAGAACTTTTGCAAAGTTCTGAAGAACCTGGTTAGGAGGTAAACATGAAGAGACTCTAACCTGACAGTTATTAATTTACCAGTGTGGATTTTATGATAGAATCCTGTGGTAATTCCTAAAGAAACAGAGCAAGACAATACCAATTTACGTCAGAGAAACTAAAAAACAAACAAACCACTAGCACAGACTATGAATAATGCAAATAAGAAGTGTCACAAGAAAACTTCATATGACCAGATAAAGTGCTGAGACTCCTGGAGCTTCGTGCAAAAGCAAAGCTTTTATACAGAAAAAAAGTTTCACTAAAAATACATGAAGGCAGTGAGTTACCTTAGGTTCTGGTGGAAAGAGTGCTTGTGTTAAACGATAAAGGTTCCCCAAACTGAGCTGAATGCTGGTGTTAGTCACATTCATTTCATGAAAGTTGGCAGAATTCCCCTTTGGACAGATATCACACTCCCCAGCAAAAGGTGAAACAGTGATGGTATTCTTAGATTCATACTGAGGCAAGTTGTCGCTGATTCCTCCATCCACATAGCGCTGCAAAGATTAAAAGTAAAAAGAACACTGACATTTTCTAGCTAGCAAATTTCCCACGTAGGAATTAAGCAGCATTTACAACTAACAGAATGGTCTCTGCTATGCTCCCAGACTAAGCATTTTGAATAGCATGCTTTGTCCTGTAGTTCCACAGAAAATCTAAGAGTGTTCTATTTGGGATTTCTTCCTGTGTTTAAGAAACAGCAAATCCATTTTAAGGATGATAATCCCACACAACGTGCCCTAAAATAATTGGCACAATTGTCTCCTCTTCCTCAAAGGACAGCACTAACCTAAGAGGTACTACGGTGCTTCTGTAGAAAGAAGAGAAGAGAATAGCTCTACATTTCCAAGTTTTAGGTTCCTCACTATTAAAACATTCTGTTTAAAAAGAGTTGCTTTTAAGTGCTCTTGCAATTAGAATTTGCAATCAAAGGATGATAAATATTCAGACATTAAGAAATTGCTAATAAAAGTGAAACAAAGCTTTGCACACAAGTTTAGAAGTTTCCCAAGTTGTATTTTTTTGTGCGTTTTCAGCTGCCCACGACCAGAGTTTTAATGCATCATCATCTCAAATGTTTTAGGATCCAAGAACTGAAAAGTGCTATATGAGGTAACAGATCTGTAATGCAGCAGCTATAAAACTTAACTAGTCACTCACAATAGCCTTCTCTCCAGTAAGGCCATTTTCTGGCAGATATTCTAACAGCATCAAAAGATCACCTCCTTACCAACTTTGCTGTTTCAGTGGCTCCATTTTCCTCCTTCCTAACCAGGCATCAGACAGAACCTGTGGATCCTTTCATAAAATGGAAAGGCAAGGCAGCTTTAAGCAGGAGCAATCTGCTCAAAGCAGTTTAATATGGATTCATACTTGCTCCCCAAGCACTGTGAGAAACAAACTAGGAATGAGGAAAAGGACAGCTCAAAGCAATTTATTGAACATAGTCTTCTAGAAAAGCCTGTTCCTACCTGTCAGCTTTCTTGGACACTCTTTATACCCAGCAGTAAGCAGCTGCTGACAAACTTCCTACAGGCATATAATGCCATCACCAAACGCTATGTGGAATCATCATAAGATGTCTGACCAAGAAGGAAATGCACAGCCACAGAATGCAATCTTCTCATTAAGTTATTCAGAAGTAGAAGCACATGTCTGAATTATGTT